TCTCCAACTCATTTTGAAAGCCATGCTCTGTGGCTGATCTCTTTCTACACCTTTGTTCTCTTGCACTCCCTACTCTAGTTCCTTGCTGCCTTATGTACTTGGGGCCAAAGGCTCTTTGACTTTCATGTCGGGATGGGAACAGACATAATAGTTCACCCCTGAAAAACCCTGTGTCCAAAATAGCAAGCACCATGACACGAGTGCTGCTCAGACTTTGTCACTGACCAGAGCTCGGTGTTTGTTCTAAAGTTTGCGGTTTCCTAGCTACAAGTCTACTTCTGGAAATTCATCCCGTGGGCATACTTGACAAAGCACAGATTCACAAAGATCGCTGTGTAAGGACTGTTGAGGATCTTATTTTGTAGACGTGAAAAATTGAGACCAATCTGAATATCCAAAAGAGGAGGACTAGATTACTGGTACAGGAGCCCCAAATACCGGCACTCATTTTTACTTGCCTAAAAGTTGAATTCAAAAGGCCAATGGGTTTTTCTCAATATTCTGGCACCCTTGATTAGGAACCAGGAAAACTTCCATATTATATACTGTATTTGTTTCCCTATTTACTGATTATAAAACATCTGTTCTAGAACAGACTATATTTGGCTTGAAATGATGGATGAGAGAGAAGTTTGAGGTAAAAAAGTAGCATATATGGAACAGGGTAGAGCCCAGAAATAAGCTCACACTTGCATGATCAATTAATCTATGACAAAGGCAGCAAGAGTATATGAGGAAAAGACGGTCTTTTCAATAAATTGTCTTTCTTAAAGGATACACAAAATGAACTCAAATGGATTAAAGATATAAATGTGAGACCTGAAACCATAAAACTGAAAACATAGGCCATAATCTCTTGGATGTCAGCCTTAGCAACATTTCTGGATATGTCTCTTCAGGCAATGGAAACAAAAGCAAAAATAAACTATTGGGGCTTCATCAAAATAAAAAGCTGCAAAGCAAAGGAAATGATCAACAAAACAGAAATGCAGCCTGCTGAAGGTATTTGCAAATGATAGAGCCAATAAGGGGTTAATATCCAAAATATATGCAGAATTGATAAATATCCACACCAAAAACAAAACACCTGGCTAAAAAATGGGCAGAGGCTCTGAATAGTCATTTTTCCAAACAAGAAAAACAGATGGACAATAGTCACATGAAAGGATACTCATTACTGATCATGAGGAATGCAAATCAAAACCACAATGAGGTAGCGCCTCATACCAGTCAGAATGGCTAAAATAAAGATAAGAACTAAAGTGTTTGACGAATGTGGAGAAAAAGGAGCCCTCATGCACTGCTGGTGGGAATGCAAACTGGTGCAGCCACTGTGGAAAACATATGGAGGGTCCTCAAAAAATTAAAAACAAACACCATGTGATCCAGTAATTCCCCTGCTTGGATATTTATGAAAAGGAAGTAAAAAGATATGTACCCCGTGTTTACTGCAGCACTCTTTACAGCAGCCAAGGTATGGAGGCAGCCCAAGTGTTCAACCGATGAATGGATAAAGATGTAGTATATATACACAATGGAATATTAGCCATAAAAAAGAATGAGATCTTGGCATTTGTGACAACACAGATGGACCTAGAAGGTATAATGCTAGATGAATTAAGTCAGAGAAAGAGAAATACCATAGGATTTCACTTATATGAATGTGGAATCTAAACTCACAGGAACAAACAGAAACAAACTCTTAAGTACAGAGAACAAACTAGTGGTTGCCAGAGAGGAGGTGGGTCGGGGATGGGTGAAATAGATAAAGGGGATTAAAAGGCACACACTTCAAGTTATAAAGTAAATCACAGAGATTAAAAGTACAGCACAGGGAACACAGTCAATATTGGAGTAACGTTACATGGGGACTATCCTTCCTGGAGTGAGCAGTAATATATAGACTTGTATCAGTGTTGGACACCTGAAACTAACATAGCATTACATGTTGATTATACTTCAACTAAAACAAAAACCAATGCTTTCTGAGGTTAAAAATGTACACTTCTCTTAAAGTCTTGGCTATATTTATTTATGTGATTTAAAAAAAGATTAAGGGCAGCCCAGGTGGCTCAGCGGTTTAGCGCTGCCTTCAGCTCAGGCCATGATCCTGGGGACCCGGGATCGAGTCCCACATCGGGCTCCCTGCTTCTCCCTGTGTCTCTGTCTCAATAAATAAATAAAAATCTTTTTAAAAACTGTACAATACATTCATTTGATTAGTAAAATATTCTTGCAAACCATGAGAGGCCTAAAGGAAAAGAGCATTTTAGGGCCAGAGCCACCTGCAGAGTCACCAATCTGTTGCATCAAAGGAATTCAACCTACCTGTGTATCTGCTTCATAAGGTCAAATCTACACCTAAACCTTTATTTTTTTTTTAAGATTTTATTTATTCATGAGAGACACAGAGAGAATGAGAGGCAGAGACACAGGCAGAGGGAGAAGCAGGCTCCATGCAGGGAGTCCGATGTGGGTCTTGATCCTGGGTCTCCTGGGCTGAAGGCAGGCACTAAACCACTGAGCCACCCAGGGATCCCCTACACCTAAACCTTTAGATTTTACATGAACAATGTGCTTTCCCCCTCCCCTAAACGGCCTCTGATAAGCTTTACAATAAAACCCAGCAACAGGGATCCCTGGGTGGCGCAGCGGTTTGGCGCCTGCCTTTGGCCCAGAGCGTGATCCTGGAGACCCGGGATCGAATCCCACGTCGGGCTCCCGGTACATGGAGCCTGCTTTCTCTCTCTCTCTCTCTCTCTCTCTCTCTCTCTCTCTCTCTCTCTGACTATCATAAATAAATAAAAATTTTAAAAAATTATAAAAAAAAAAACCCACCAACATGGAACACCTGGGTGGCTTAGTGGTTGAGTGTCTGCCTTCTGATCAGGTCGTGATCCCAGGGTCCTGGAATCAAGTCCCGCATCAGGCTTCTTGCGTTTCAGAGGGAGCCTGTTTCTCCCTCTGCCTGTGTCTCTGTCTCTCATGAATAAATAAGTAAAATCTTTAGAAAATAAATAAAATAAACCCCACCAATATTATAAAACATTGACTCTGAAGTCCTGAAAGAGGGAAGGATTGCAAGGAACAGAGCTGAATGCAGTTAACAAGACGAAGCTACCCTGGTCAAAGGAATAAGTCTGCCCTTAAAGAGAGATTGCTGTCAAAGAAAGATGTATTGTTGTACATGTCATTTGGATGAAAAGTAATTTTTCATTGAATGACTAATTTATCCATGTTAGGGATTGCACTGTGCAGGCAGTAAGAATGAAGTTTCAGAAAGGAGGGAGAACTTTACTTTTGACTTTATGTACAGACTCCAGTATCATTTTTTTTTAAGATTTTATTTATTTATTCTGGAGACACACACAGAGAGAGAGAGAGAGAGAGAGGCAGAGACACAGGCAGAGGGAGAAGCAGGCTCCATGCAGGGAGCCCAATGTGGGACTCGATCCCAGGTCTCCAGGATTACTCCATGGGCCGAAGGCAAGTGCCAAACCGCTGAGCCACCTGGGCTGCCCTCATTTTATTTTTTTAAAATAAGATTTATTCATTTGAAAGAAGGAAAGAAAAAGAAAAGAAAGAAAGAAAGAAAGAAAGAAAGAAAGAAAGAAAGAAAGAAAAGAAAGAAAGAAAGTGAAAGAGAAAGAAAGAAAGAAAGAAGAAAGAAAGAAAGAAGAAAGAAAAAGAAGAAAGAAAGAAAGAAAGAAAGAAAGAAAGAAAGAAAGAAAGAAAGAAAGAAGAAAGAAAGAAAGAAAGAAAGAAAGAAAGAAAGAAAGAAAGAAAGAAAGAAAGAAAGAAAGAAAGAGGGGGGACAGAGGGACAAGCAAACTCATGATGAGCACAGAGCCTGATATCATGACCTGAGCCCAAATCAAGAAAGGGTCTGACACTTCGCCAAAGGAGCCACTCAGGTGTCGCAATATCAATTTTAAAGAAAGATCTCTCAGGACACCTGAGCAGCTCTGTGGATTAAGCCTCTGCCTTCAGGTCATGATCCCAGGGTCCTGGGATAGAGCCCCGTGTGGGGCTCCCTGCTCAGTGGGGAGCCTGCTTCTCCCTCTGCCTTTCCCCCTGCTTGTGCTCTTGCTCTCTCGCAAATGAATAAGTTCTTATAAAAAAAAATAAAAAAAGCATTTCTCCCCTCTGCAATGAAACCAAGCCAAAACACCCACCCAAGTTTTAAAGGAAGGGCAGTGGAAGTCAAGCACAGAGCATGTCGCCAGGGCTGGAAAGGTGCCACCGCCAAGGGAAGCTGTGTTGTGGACAGATGGGCCACCAGTAGCTACAGGGCTGCCCCTGCTCCCTAGACCCGAGGTGCCTCCTTGTGTCCCCACCAGTGGCCCAAGACACCTGGGCTGGGATATGAAACCAATGACAGGAGAGGGCTCCCCCTCCCCCAGGCCCCGCGGTCTCCCAGCAGGCTTCTGCTCAGGGCTGGTCTCCGCACTCCCGCCCTGGCCACACACCCATCACCTGGTTATCCTGAGGGCGCCTGGAGTGAGCCCACGAGGGGTATGCCCCCCCCCCATGGCCTTCCTCCCTCCTTCCCTACCCAGGACACCGTGAAATGAGAAAGGACAGTAAATACCTTTTTGATTTCTTAGACTGCAATCTGAGAGGACGTTCTGTCCTGCACCTTACACACTGTTGAACGAGGGGGAACAACGGGCGCATCTTTATTTCAGCCCTTCCCAGAAGCAGAAAGGACCCAATTGAATTACGATTAATATTCTGGAAGCAAAAATTTCGAAATCGTCTTCCGGGAAGACACAGGGCTGAATAATGGGCTGATTAGTGGTCGTTTTTCAGGATTGCAGAAGAATGTTTATAGTTAGAATCAATATTATTATTCCCTTGTCATTTAAAAAATGTGCCAGACACACGGCGGTGGCTGAGGGTTTTGCTTCTGCCCACAGCTGATGGAAACCTCACCCAGGGCCCCCAGGGCCTGCCGGGACTGGGCTCACACACAAAGGACCAGGGCTTTATTTCCAGGCTTTATTTCATTCTTTAATTTTGTTCACAGCTTAAAACATAACTTATAGCTTAACATTTCCAGTGGTCAACCTCTAGAATTTGGTATTTTCTTTTTTGAAAAACAACAACAACAAAATAATCCTTCAGGCTCAGGAATCAAATACTTCCCAAGACAATGTTCAGAATGGAGGAGCTTTAAAAGTGCAAAAGAAAGAAATGGAAAGCTGGGGGAGCAACTTTTCATGAGTTTTGGGGGGCAGTTTATTTTACATTTGGGTTTGTCAATGGAAGCCTCTCACTGGGTATGCTTTTCCATTTCCTTTTCTTTTTCAAGATTTTATTTTTAAGTAAGCTCTACACCCAACATGGGGCTGGAACTAAGAATCCTGAGATCAAGAGTCACATCTCTACCTCCTGAGCCAGCCAGGTGCCCCTCCATTTCTCCTTTTATTCTGAAGATAACCACACCTGACTTCTGACAAGCTGAGAAGTTCTGGAAAGCAGGAAGTGTGACAGAGGACACAGAGATGCCAGCAGCTGCCCAAATCCAAACCGGTTTCCCACTGATGGGCCTTCTGTGTGAAAGAGGAGAAAAAAACTAATCAGATTATCCTTGACTCTCTTTTTGTTTTGCTACTCCCACCCCACTTCTTCACGGCACTGGGGACTGGTACAAGAAACCTGTCCCAGCCCAGAGCCTGAAAGGACCCAGGTGTGCCTGAGAGTGAGAACCTTCTGTGGCAGGTGCTCAAGCTACAAATCAGTTGTGTGGACCAACTGCTCTCTTGCCTTTTGAATCGAGTAGTGCCTTTAGAGTCCTTCTGGAAGATCGAAGAGCTCCTGTCTGACTACTCCAAAAGATCTCTTCTGGTAACCGTGAATTTAGAGAACGGCTTCTTACCCAACTTCTCCATGCAAATTCTTACTTGCCACATGGGAAGTGAAACAGATGTAGACATTGAAGACTTAAGGAAAAGAGAAGGGAATGTTCTAGCTCTCCTTCACATCCACATGGGTGAATTTGCAGGTGACACAGCTCCTGACCTCAGCCTTCACTGTAACCAGGATGGTACTTCTGCTCTGTAGCTAACAGTGTTACAGAGAGAAAAGATAATGGAATATAAATTCATGCTACTTTAGAGCTTGCCAAATGCAAGGCGGGATGGAGACATTTTCAAGTAAACACAGTGGCCAACAAGCTGAGGATGAGAGCCAAGGCCAGTTGTGATCCAGTCCCTCATTTCACCTGGAGCCCCAAGACCCCAGAGCATTTTATCGGTGGGGAGCACTCAGTAGAGTGCTTACTGCTTTCCAGATCCTTGAAGAATCCTCATGCTTTCCTCCAGTTGTTCGGTGGGCCGTCTGGACACTGTGGGCTGCACGGATACCCTGCCCCTGAGGTAGGTGAGTGCCAAGCGTTCCTCAGCCCACTCGGGAGAGCGCGAGGGCCCGACTAGACACAAAGTGTTGGTGACTGAGGAGCATCGGTCTGAAGCCCCAGCTCATTTGCCAGTCATACCACCCCGTGCAGGCTCCCTCTCACACAGGCACCATGACCCGGCTGGGTGGGAAGCCATCTGGACCCCCGTCTCTGCCCACTGAGGACAAGAACATCTGTTTTTCTCACACCAGCCTAAGTTGGGGCTGCAGAAGAGAGAAATCCAATGAATGTTGGAAAGGTTATTTTCTCCCTATTCCTGCTTCTAGGGCCCACTCCTCGGGAACAGGTGAAGCTCCTTCTCCCTAAGGCGTCAGCCCAGGACCTGGGCCGCTCGGACCACCTCACCAGGGCCTGGCAGCCTCCCGGGCTCTCCCTCTGGGGGGGCAGGCACGTCCTCTAGCTTCTCACAGTAGCTCCCACAGCAGAGCGGACAAGAGCACGGGCGGCCAGGCCGGGCTGGCTGCGCACTCGGCGGGGACGTGCGGCCCGGGCCACCCTGGCGTGGGTGCCCAGCAAGCAGCCAGGCCGGCGCCAGGCCCTCCACGCGGGGGGCAGGAGGCTCGGAGGGTGCACGGGACGCCTTGGCTCCTTTGGCTGCAAAATGCTATTTTCCCTGTGAGGTAGGAACGTAAGTGGGCGCAGCCGTGGCTAACACTCGACGTCCTGTAGCTCGATTTCCTCCGTTGCGCTCTCTGCAAAGCAAATACAAGTGGCTCAGCCGCGGATGGGCCGCACGTGGTTTCTGGGGGGGACAAGGATGCCCCGCGCCCCCTGCGGCCGTGAGCGTGAGGCCGGCTTATCACGGGGCCCAGAGAGTTACCTTTGAGTTTGTGGCGTCTCTTCCGCTGGAACTTATATGCGCACTTATTACAGACCCACATGAGGCTGATGAGCAGCGCGGCCACGGCGGCCAGAAAGGCCAGGAAGACGGCAACGAAGTGCAGGTCTTCATAGAGGATCTCTGCGGGCGGGAAGGGGAAGGTCGGGCCCTTCTTGGCATGGGGTGTCTCTCCCACAGCCTGGCCATGCCGAGGGTGCCCGGCCCCGTCTTACCCGACACGTGCAGCACGATGGTGCCCAACTGGCTGCCCCCCAGGCGCTCTGTCACCGTGATGACGTAGTAGCCAGAATCTCTCACGCTCACGCTGAAGAGCTGGATGGAACCGTTGTCGAAGGTGCAAAGCCTGTCCTGGTGGCTCCGGGAGATGTTGGCCTGAGTCCCCGGCCGCCACTCCACGAGCTTCTGGGCTCCCCAGCTGGATGTGTACTTCCACTCGATGGTGGGGACCCCATGGCAGGAGTAGTCCACCGACAGCAGGATGTCTTCCTCCACCGTGGCATTGATGGCGGCCTGGGGGATGTACAGGGACACACCCTGACCTGCGGGATGGAGTCCAGACGTGGGGCAACGTACAGATGAGCTGACAGGGCAGTGGACTTCCGGGATGTGTTAATTAATTTAGCAAATATTTGCTGAGCGCCTCTTATGGGCCAGCCTGTCTTCTAGGTTCTGGTGCCGAGGCCACAGTGGTGAATGTTATAGACTGGATGTCTGCATCCCGTGGCCCTGAACTTCCTAAGTTGAAGCCCCAACGTCTAGGGTGACTGTCTTTGAAGATGCAGCCTCCAAAGAGGAAGTCGAGGGTCAATGGGATCATAAGGGTGGGGCCCTGCTCCAATAGGATTAGTGTCTCTTTAAGAAGAGGCACCGGAGAGATCTCTTTCTCTCTCTCTCATTTCTCCACAGGGATACAAGAGGGAATTGAGAGAAAGTACTCTGAGAGGTTGTGGTGAGAAGGTGGCTGATCTACAAGCCAGGAAGAGAGCTCTCACCAGAAATCGAACTGTGCTAGAACTTTGATCTAGCACTTTCCGGCCTCTGGAACTGCAGGAAAGTAAACTTCTGGTGCCTCAGCCCCACGGGCTGTGGGATTTTGCTATGGTCTAAGACCATGAACAAGACACGAGGTTCTTGTATCCTGGATGAACGGGAGGCTCCCTGGAGCTCCATCCTATGAGGGAGACAATCAAGGGTGCACTAGACCAGCAAGATCATTTCAGATCGTGCCAAGTGCTTGGAAGACAATACAACGGGACACCAGTGACCGGTGAGGGTGGAGATGGCACACAGCCTTATAACGGGCAGGGAGGACCTCGTGCAGAAAATGACACTTGAACGGAGACCCGGGGGACGGGCAGGCGGCTGTGGAGACTGCAGGAGGGAGTGAGCACAAAGGCTGCGAGGTGAGGCCGAGCGCTGGGCTCCTTGAGGGACAGAAAGAAGGCCAGCATGCTGGAAGGCGTGAGCCCTGGGGAGAGACGGGGTGAGGCTGGACAGCTGGCAGGACACAGGCCGCGACGTGAGGGTTAGGGGCAGGGTTTCACTCAAGGCAGCTGGGAGCCACGGAGGACTTAAGCGGGAGGAGGACTCTCCATTAGGCTTGAGAATGTCTGCTGTGGAGAACGTTCTCGGGCTGAGGGGACGAGAGCAGAAGCAGGAAGGGCCATGAGGTGGCGAGGTGGCTGAGACAGGGGAAGCTGTGTATTTGGAAGCAGGGAGGACAAAACATGCTGACGACCTAGATGTGGGCGTGAGTGAGGCCGAGGCACCAAGCAGAGCTTTCTCTGCGAGTGTGCAGATGTGCAGTAGTGCCCGCCGTTGACCAAGGTTATGTATATATGCTGTTGTGCACGTATTAAGCAAACAACACGCATAAGCCCCATGCCAACCACTTGACATGCATTGTCCCACTAAGGTCCCACACACAACCTACTGCAGTTCCATCAAGCATAGAGCAAGTCTTGTTGTCAACAGGACTAACTAGCTTGTCAAAGTTCATTCTGCAAGGCAAACAGCCACACAAGGGCTGCTCACTCCAAAGCTCACATATTTGACCTCTAGGGTTCATGTCAGTAGTCAGTGGTTGGCAGTGGAGAGCACAGAACGTGACAAGTGCCCCCACACCCAGAGAGAACTGGTCAGAGCTGGCTGGACCCTAGATAATGAGCAGGGCAGGGCCTACACTTGGAGCCCATCCCCTGGTTTCCACGTCCACTTCCGGTTCGGCCCCCTCAATCTTTGAGTGCCCAGTTGCCCCGAGCCCCTGCTGTGTGGCTCCGGGTAGCCACACCTGTTACTTCCTCGCTGTCCTCTCCTATCCCATCCCCAGCACAGTCCATCAGTATTCTTCTAAGGCTCTTGTCTAGGTGACTGGAAATAATCTGATAAACGTCATGCTGAAAAACTGGGAGGTAATAATGGTTTTCAAGAGTTACAACTGCCGGGATCCCTGGGTGGCGCAGCGGTTTGGCGCCTGCCTTTGGCCCAGGGCGCGATCCTGGAGACCCGGGATCGAATCCCACATCGGGCTCCCGGTGCATGGAGCCTGCTTCTCCCTCTGCCTGTGTCTCTGCCTCTCTCTCTCTCTCTGTGACTATCATAAATGAATAAAAAAAATAAATAAAAAAAAACTTCATAAAAAAAAAAAAGAGTTACAACTGCCAAGTAACAGAAATACAGTTTTTCCCCAACACTGTATTTTAAAACATGTTAAATTCAGAGAGAAGTTGAAAGGCAAGTACCATTAACATGTACCCTCTCCTTAATTCACTAGTTGGGACCATTTTGCCATATTTGCATTCTCTCTCTCAGAAAACAGAAGTCAAATTCTAGATCAGTCCGCAGAGGGCAGGAGGTATATATTTTCTTCATCTTTGTGTCCCCTAACACAATTCCTCACATGTAGTGATTGGTTAAGTGTTTGTTGAGTGAATAAAAAAGTGAGTGACAAAATATTTATAACAAGAAGGGTGAGCTTTCCTGATAGAAACATTGTGCTAATTTTTCAGAGCCCTTCAGCAACGTCTAAAAAGTAACACACATATAGGAAAAGAGGACTATAATTTAGCCCAGACTTTATGTGCCGGTTACTATAATATATACTTATTGTACTTACCAATCCTTCCCTAATGTTTTACATAAGTCAGCAACATGCCCATGTAGCAAGGAAATGGAAAAGATGGGACTTAAATGCAGCTGATTCAAAGCCCTGTGTTTTTCCCTAAAGACACCAGCAAAAAAATTAGAAATAATAAATGAATTCAGTAAAGTTGCAGAATATATGGTATATAGAACTGTTGTATTTCTACATACTATAATGAGGTAGCACAAACAGAAGTTCAGAAAATATTCCATTTACAATTGCACTAAAAAGAATAAAATACCTAGGAATAAACTTAATCAGGGAGTTAAAAGACCCCAATGAAGAAATCAAAGAGGAAATAAAAAAATACATACACACAAATAAAAACACGAGCCAAAATCTGGGACACAGCCAAAGCAGTTCTAAGTGGGGAGTTTATACCAATATAGGCCTACCTCAAGAAACAAGAAAAATCTCAAACAATCTAACCATACATATAAAGTTAGAAAAAGAAGAACAAAGCCCAAAGCTCGGAGAAGGAAGAAAATAAGATTAAAGCAGAAATAGAAACTGGAAAAAAAAAAAAGAAACAATAAATGAAACCAAGAGCTGTTACTTGGAAAAGATAAACCAAACTGATAACCCTTTGGCTAGACTCATTAAGAAAAAAAAAAAAAAGAGAGAGAGAGAGAAAGGAAAAATACAGCAAAACCAAAAACAAAACAAAACAAACCCCCCCCCAAAAAAAAACAACAAAATAAAAAAAATAAGGAGGAAGGACTCAAATCAGAAATGAAGTAGCAATAACAACTAACACCACAGAAATACAAAGAATTATAAGAGAATAATAAATATGAAAACTTATATGCCAACAAATTGGACAGCATAGAAGAAATGGATAAATTCCTAGAAACATATACAGTCTTTCACAAGTGAATCAGGAAGAAATGGAAAATTTCTATTACTGATCAATTACTAGTAAAAAAATTTAAATGGTAATCAAAAAACTCCCAACAAATAAAAGTCCAGGACCAGATGACTTCACAGGTGAACTCTAGGACATTTTTTTTTTCCTAGTTTTCCTTCCTCTTCTATTTTTGGAATAATTTGAGAAGAATAGGTATTATGTCTTCCTTAAAGGAGTCCTAAAGGGGCGCCTGGGTGGTGCATTTGTTAAACATCTGCCTTTGGCTTAAGTCATAATCCCAGGGTCCTGAGGTCAAGCTCCACATCTGGGCCCCCGACTCAGTGGGGTGTCTGCTTCTTCCTATCAAAATGCCAATAGCATTTTTCATAGAACTAGAACAATTAATTCTAAAACTCACATGGAACTACAAAAGACCCTGAATAGCTAAAGCACTCTAGAAAGAGGAGCAAAGTAGAAGGTATCACAATCTCAGATTTCAAGATATACTACAAAAGTAATTAAAACAGCATGATATTGACACAAAAAGACACAGATCAATGGAACAATACAAGGACCAGAAATAAACCCACATTATATGGTCAATTAACCAATGACAAATGAGGCAACATTATACAATGGGGAAAAGACAGTCTCTTCAATAAATGGTGTTGGGAAAAATGGACAATCACATGCAAAAGAATGAAACCGGACCTCTTTCTCACACACAAAATGTAACTGAAATGGGGCAGCCCGGGTAGCTCAGCGGTTTAGCACCGCCTTCAGCCCAGGGCCTGATCCTGGAGACCCGGGATCGAGTCCCACGTCAGGCTCCTGCATGGAGCCTGCTTCTCCCTCTGCCTGTGTCCCTGTGTCTCTGCCTCTCTCTCTCTCTCTCTCTGTGTGTCATGAATAAATAAATAAATAAAATCTTAAAAAAAAAAAGTAACTGAAATGGATTAAAGACCTGTGAGACCTGAAACCATAAAACTCCTAAAACAGAGGCAATAATCTCTTTGACATTTACCTTAGCAACATTTTTCTAGATATGTCTCCTCAGACACGGGAAACAAAAGCAAAAATAAAGAATCAAGAGTACACCAAAATACAAAGGAAACCATTAACAAGACAAAAAGGCAACCTATCGAAAATATTTGCAAATGGTACAGCCAATAAGAGGTTAATATCCAAAATACATAAAAAAAACTATAGAACACAACACCAAAACATCTTAAAAATGGGTGGCAGATGATCCGAATAGCCATTTTTCCCAAGAAGACATCCAGATGCCCAACAGACACATGAAAAGATGCTCAACATCACTCATCATCAGGAAATATCACCTCACACCTGTCAGGGTGGCTAAAATCAAAAAGTTAATAAGTGTCAGTGAGAATGTGGAGAAAAAGGAACCCTCATGCACTGTTGGTGGGAATGTGAGTGAGTGCTACCATTGTGGAAAACAGTATGGAGGTTCCTCAAGAAAAGACAAACAAAACTGAAAACAGAACTACCATATGATCCAGTAATTCCATTGCTGGGTATTCACCTAA